TCAGAGTGCAGGCACTGTACTTTCCCATCTCCAGACTCAAGTCCGGCCTGCCGGTTTCCCTGAACCCCTTCATAAATGTTACTTTGCTCACACTCCAACAGCACGTCAAGTATTAAAAATCATTCGTCTCCATTCACTCCTATCAAACAACGCTCACGCACGCTGCTGGAAGTCCAAGCCCCTCGCACACAAAACCTCCTTTATCCCCTCCCTCCAACCTTTCCTAGGCCGACCCCTACCCCGCCTTCCTTCCACTACAGACTGATACACTCTTGAAGTCATTCTGTTTCGCTCCATTCTCTCTACATATCCGAACCACCTCAACAACCCTTAATCAGCCCTCTGGACAACAGTTTTGGTAATCCCGCACCTCCTCCTAACTTCCAAACTACGAATTCTCTGCATTATATTCACACCACACATTGCCCTCAGACATGACATCTCCACTGCCTCCAGCCTTCTCCTCGCTGCAACATTCATCACCCATGCTTCACACCCATATAAGAGCGTTGGTAAAACTATACTCTCATACATTCCCCTCTTTGCCTCCAAGGACAAAGTTCGTTGTCTACACAGACTCCTAAGTGCACCACTCACCCTTTTCCCCTCGTCAATTCTATGATTCACCTCATCCTTCATAGACCCATCCGCTGACACGTCCACTCCCAAATATCTGAATACATTCACTTCCTCCATACTCTCTCCCTCCAATCTGATATCCAATCTTTCATCACCTAATATTTTTGTTATCCTCATAACCTTACTCTTTCCTGTATTCACTTTTAATTTTCTTCTTTTGCACACCCTACCAAATTCATCCACCAATCTCTGCAACTTCTCTTCAGAATCTCCCAAGAGCACAGTGTCATCAGCAAAGAGCAACTGTGACAACTCCCACTTTATATGTGATTCTTTATCTTTTAACTCCACGCCTCTTGTCAAGACCCTCGCATTTACTTCTCTTACAACCCCATCTATAAATATATTAAACAACCACGTTGACATCACACATCCTTGTCTAAGGCCTACTTTTACTGGGAAATAATTTCCCTCTTTCCTATGTACTCTAACTTGAGCCTCACTATCCTCGTAAAAACTTCACTTATATGTTTCACTGTAAACACCTGGTCCACACACCCCCTACCTTTCCTAAAGCCTCCTTGTTCAACTGCTATCCTATTCTCAGTCTTACTTTTAATTCTTTCAATAATAACTCTACCATACACTTTACCAGGTATACTCAACAGACTTATCCCCCTATAATTTTTGCACTCTCTTTCGTCCCCTTTGCCATTATACAAAGGAACTATGCATGCTCTCTGCCAATCCCTAGGTATTTACCCTCTTCCATACATTTATTAAATAATTGCACCAATCACTCCAAAACTATATCCCCACCTGCTTTTAACATTTCTATCTTTATCCCATCAATCCCGGCTGCCTTACCCCCTTTCATTTTACCTACTGCCTCACGAACTTCCCCCACACTCACACCTGGCTCTTCCTCACTCCTACAAGATGTTATTCCTCCTTGCCCTATACACGAAATCACAGCTTCCCTATCTTCATCAACATTTAACAATTCCTCAAAATATTCCCTCCATCTACCCAATACCTCTAACTCTCCATTTAATAACTCTCCTCTCCTATTTTTAACTGACAAATCCATTTGTTCTCTAGGTTTCCTTAACTTGTTAATCTCACTCTAAAACTTTTTCTTATTTTCAACAAAATTTGTTGATAACATCTCACCCACTCTCTCATTTGCTCTCTTTTTACATTGCTTCACCACTCTCTTAACCTCTCTCTTTTTCTCCATATACTCTTCCCTCCTTGCATCACTTCTACTTTGTAAAAACTTCTCATATGCTAACTTTTTCTCCCTTACTACTCTCTTTACATCATCATTCCACCAATCGCTCCTCTTCCCTCCCGCACCCACTTTCCTGTAACCACAAACTTCTGCTAAACACTCTAACACTACATTTTTAAACCTACCCCATACCTCTTCGACCCCATTGCCTATGTTCTCATTAGCCCGTCTATCCTCCAATAGCTGTTTATATCTTTCCCTGACTGCCTCCTCTTTTAGTTTATAAACCTTCACCTCTCTCTTCCCTGATGCTTCTATTCTCCTTGTATCCCATCTACCTTTTACTCTCAGTGTAGCTACAACTAGAAAGTGATCTGATATATCTGTGGCCCCTCTATAAACATGTACATCCTGAAGTCTACTCAACAGTCTTTTATCTACCAATATATAATCCAACAAACTACTGTCATTTCGCCCTACATCATATCTTGTATACTTATTTATCCTCTTTTTCTTAAAATATGTATTACCTATAACTAAACTTCTTTCTATACAAAGTTCAATCAAAGGGCTCCCATTATCATTTACACCTGGCACCCCAAACTTAAATAACAAAAAGGCACAATACCGTGACTGGAACGATACACAAATAACCCGCACATAAAAGACAGAAGCTTACGACGACGTTTCGGTCCGACTTGGACCATTGACAAAGTCACACTAACAGAGGAGGAGCAGGACGGCTATATATAGGCAGGAAGAGGTGGAGGTAGTAGTAGTGGTAGTAGTAGTAGTAGTAGTAGTAGTAGTAGTACAAGAATTGTATATAATACCGACAGGATGAAATGACACATGCACAACACCCGGGCATCCCCACCGTAGACGTTTCGCCATCCAGCCAGCCACTGGATGGCGAAACGTCCACAACAAAGACAACCAGACGCCGCACATGTGTCTAATTTCATCAGTAGATGTAGTAGAAGAAGAAGAGGTAGTAGTAGTGGTAGTGGTAGAAGTGGGAAATAAGGAAGACGAGCCCAGTCAAATACAAAGGAAGGGGAGCACTGCAAGAGAGCTAGAAACCCACAGAGGGAGAGCAAGCGCACCGAGGTGCGTGAAAGGGGAAGTGGTGAAATAAAATAAAGAAGGAACAGAAACACGAGACAGGAGAGAGAAAGACAACCCAGAGGAGAAAAGGAGAGAGGAAAGGGGAAGAGGAAGAAGAAAAAGAAGAAGAAGAAAAAATGAGGATTCAGGTTAAGTCACGGGTGTTCTGAAGTTTGGAGCATTTTACAATGTAGTGGGAGAGGAAGGCATCTACAGAGACGAAGCCAGGGCTAAGGTTCATACAAGGAAAGTTGTGTATAAGAGAGGATTCAACTAAACGGCGACTGTTCGAGTTGGAAGTAGGGAAGACAGTTTTAGCAGAAGACCAGTCAATAGGATGGCTATGATCTCTTCCCCTTTCCTCTCTCCTTTTCTCCTCTGGGTTGTCTTTCTCTCTCCTGTCTCGTGTTTCTGTTCCTTCTTTATTTTATTTCACCACTTCCCCTTTCACGCACCTCGGTGCGCTTGCTCTCCCTCTGTGGGTTTCTAGCTCTCTTGCAGTGCTCCCCTTCCTTTGTATTTGACTGGCTCGTCTTCCTTATTTCCCACTTCTACCACTACCACTACTACTACCTCTTCTTCTTCTACTTCATCTACTGATGAAATTAGACACATGTGCGGCGTCTGGTTGTCTTTGTTGTGGACGTTTCGCCATCCAGTGGCTGGCTGGATGGCGAAACGTCTACGGTGGGGATGCCCGGGTGTTGTGCATGTGTCATTTCATCCTGTCGGTATTATATACAATTCTTGTACTACTACTACTACTACTACTACTACTACTACCACTACTACTACCTCCACCTCTTCCTGCCTATATATAGCCGTCCTGCTCCTCCTCTGTTAGTGTGACTTTGTCAATGGTCCAAGTCGGACCGAAACGTCGTCGTAAGCTTCTGTCTTTTATGTGCGGGTTATTTGTGTACCCCAAACTTACCTACCACACTCTCTCTAAAAGTTTCTCCTACTTTAGCATTCAGGTCCCCTACCACAATTACTCTCTCACTTGGTTCAAAGGCTCCTATACATTCACTTAACATCTCCCAAAATCTCTCTCTCTCCTCTGCATTCCTCTCTTCTCCAGGTGCATACACGCTTATTATGACCCACTTCTCGCATCCAACCTTTACTTTAATCCACATAATTCTTGCATTTACACATTCATATTCTCTTTTCTCCTTCCATAACTGATCATTCAACATTACTGCTACCCTTTCCTTTGCTCTAACTCTCTCAGATACTCCAGATTTAATCCCATTTATTTCCCCCCACCGAAACTCCCCTACCCCCTTCAGCTTTGTTTCGCTTAGGGCCAGGACATCCAACTTCTTTTCATTCATAACATCAGCAATCATCTGTTTCTTGTCATCCGCACTACATCCACGCACATTCAAGCATCCCAGTCTTATAAAGTTTTTCTTCTTCTCTTTTTTAGTAAATGTCTACAGGAGAAGGGGTTACTAGCCCATTGCTCCCGGCATTTTAGTCGCCTCATACGACACGCATGGCTTACAGAGGAAAGATTCTTTTCCACTTCCCCATGAACAATAGAAGAAATAAAGAAGAACAAGAGCTATTTAGAAAAAGGAGAAAAACCTAGATGTATGTATATATATATATATGCATGTGCATGTCTGTGAAGTGTGACCAAAGTGTAAGTTGGAGTAGCAAGATATCCCTGTTATCTAGCGTGTTTATGAGACAGAAAAAGACACCAGCAATCCTAACATCATGCAAAACAGTTACAGGTTTCTGTTTCACAGTCATCTGGCAGGACGGTAGTACTTCCCTGGGTGGTTGCTGTCTACCAACCTACTATATAATATATATATATATATATATATATATATATATATATATATATATATATATATATATATATATATATATATATAAATATATATATATATATTTATATATATAATATATATAATATATATATATATATATATATATAATATATATATATATATATATATATATAATATATATATATATATATATATATATATATAATGCTTTAGGCATGTGCTTATCTTGTTTCTTAATAGAATTTTCTATAGATTGTTTTTTCACTCTGCAGGAGTGCCAGTGGTACGACCAATGGATGACGTCAGTGCTGTTGCAGGAGAAAGACTCGTACTGACCTGTCCGGTCGGTGGATACCCCATACACTCTCGTATCTGGTTAAAAGGTCAGTCACTTGGAATGAAAGGTCACTTGCTTCGTCTAAAAGATCAGCCACCTATTATGTAAGACTAGCCACCTGGCATGAAAGGTCGGCCACCTGGTAAGGTCACTCACTTGGTATGAAAGGTCAATTAGTTGGCATGACAGGCCAATCACTTGATGTGAAAGGTCACCCAATTGGTATGAAATGTCACTCACTTGGCTAGTAAGGTCAGTTCCTATAATGTAATTATTCAAGATGCTAACAAGGTGACCCTACTAGAGACAACTCTCACTTGAGCGTCAAGGTCACTTAACAGGATCAAAACACGTTCTGTACAGCTTCAATTATTCAATGATTGTTAAGAAATTATCATTGCAATTATCACTGTAGCAATTATTCAGATGCAATTTGACTATTACTGACGTTCCTATTACTGACATTCCTATTACTGACATTCCTATTACTGACATTCCTATTACTGACGTTCCTATTATTGACGTTCCTGTTTTTGACGTTCATTTTACTGACGTTCCTATTTCTGACGTTCCGATTACTGAGGTCCATTTTACTGGCGTTCCTATAACTGAAGTTCCTTATACCGACATTCCTATTACTGATGTTCCTATTATTGACGTTCCTATTACTGACGTTCATTTTACTGACGTTCCTATTATTAACGTTCCTATTACTGACATTCTTATTACTGACGTTTATATTACTGACGTTTATATTACTGACGTTCCTATTACTGACATTCCTATTACTGACGTTCCTATTACTGACGTTCCTATTATTGATGTTCCTGTTTTTGACGTTCATTTTACTGACGTCCCTATTACTGACGTTCCTATTTCTGAAATTCATTTTATTGACGTTCTTATTACTGAGGTTTTTATTACTGACGTTTGTATTACTGACGTTCCTATTACTAACGCTCCTATTACTGACATTCTTATTACTGACGTTCATATTACTGATGATCATACTACTGTCGTTTATATTACTGACGTTCCTATTACTGACGTCGTTCATATTACTGACCTTCCTATTATTAAAGTTCCCATTACTAAATTTCTTATTATTGATGTCCCTATTATTAACGTTCTTATTAGTAACTTTCCTTTTATTGACGTTCCTATTATTGAAGTTCCTAATATTGACGTTGCTGTTATCAATGTTCTTATTATTAACTTTCCTGTTATTAACGTTGCTATTATTGAAATTCCTAATATTGACGTTGCTATTATTAAGTTCCTATTATTGACGTGCCTATTTTTCACGTTCCTGTTATTGAAGTTCCTCTTACACTATGTAACCCAATTTTTGTTCCTGGCAAGTAAGTGTTATTTTCCAATTCCTTTTGTTGCAAAACAATAGAAAATGACCAGGGTAAATTTTTTGACAAAAAAAAAAGGGCTAAATTTCAATATTTTTTGCTAGTTTTTGATGTTAAATAAAAAACATACAATAAAATAAATAAAATTTACATAAAATACATTTACACAAATTTTATTTTAAACTTTCTGAAACATATTTACAAAGGTAAAAATTTGTAGTTTTTCTAGATTTGGGCTCATGCAACAAATCACTAATATATAACAATGGTTATAAATTACCATAATTTTTAAAGGGGTGGACCGGTAAGCCAGCGGAAGGCCTCGGTCAGATGACCAAAAGCTCCAACGGCGGGTCATCATCTGACTAAGACCCGCGTCAGGAAACATTTGTCCTGTTTCCTGACGAACCTTACCTAACCTAACCTAACCTAACCTAACCTAACCTAACCTAACCTAACCTAACAAATCACTTTCCCGTTTAAGGGAGGAGAGAACATTTCTGGAGATATTAGGAAGGGAACATTGAAAAATTATGGAAAAAAAAATGTTTTCTTACCGAAAAATAGGGCATAATTCTGGCAACATGTTGATGTAATCATCATATTTCTAAGTATTTTTCCTTAAATGGAATTTTTGTGTTCTTGCTCTCAAAAAAAAGCAAGTTGGCAATTAGTGTTTTTCTTTATCTCTCCAAAAATTATGATTTTTATGATTGGTTCATTCAAAATACACTAAATAGCAACATCTTTGAGGACTCCATTCAAGTTCAGGGACTCATGACAGCTCAGTCGCCTCTAGGATGTCAACACATGTTGAGGTCTGCAACAAGCTGAGATTTGGTGCGCCGTAACCATAGAGTTTTACAGAAAACAATATATGAATAACTCAGGAATAAGTTATTGACATTGTGTTCCATTTTTTGTGAAAAGTATTAATAGGAGTGTCATGACTTTTTGCACACGTTATTTAATAATGATGGTTCTACTAAAGCCCAGGGAGGATTTGCTGATTTTTTCTTCTGATGGTTGACTTCTTTCTGGAGGTGTAGGTACAGGAAGATCAGCACTGTGTGGTACTGGTGCAATAGAAGAGGGAAGGTCTAAATAAGAAATAACAGGTATATTTTCCCAGTTCGGTGTTTGGAAGGATCCACCAGACAGAAGTAACAGTTGGTTGAGTGATCAGTGGGTTCACACCATATTCTTGGAACAGCAAACTTCATGGCTCTTTTTTCTCCTCTATACCATCCTGTAAAAGATCAAAAGAATTAGTTTCTGTTACATACATTTCATTTATAAAATGGTCCTAGTCAAGATTTTACCATTCATATAAATAATGACTTTCTTACTTTCCAATGTTTTCTTACAATGTTCACAAGCAACATGAGGCGCCCAGGTCTTGTCTTGGTCCACAACTGTCGTGACAAAATATGCTTTGTAAGCTTCACACATTTTTTTAGATGCTGTTACAGAGAACTTCCTTGTTTTGTCTTAATGAATCGACCACATATGTAACAGAATGCATCTGGAGAATGACTGTAGCCTCTTGATGCCATTTCACTTCTGATGTGTCTTCTCAGGTAGCCAGAGCTGAACTGAATGCTGGTTTGTGAGTCCCTGTTTTTATAGTTGCCAAGTAAAACCCTAGACCATAATAGTTTTACATCAGTCCTTCTTGAAAGTTTTCCAGAAGTGTCCTGATCATTTTTTTTAAAGTTCGTTTAGTTATAAAGTATTGGGAAATGATGCTTATTTCCCAGGAACACAACAAAAGTGAAATTTTGTTACATAGTGATTGACGTTCCCGTTATTAACGTTCCAATTATTAACGTTCCTAATATTAACGTTACTATTATTGACGTTCCTATTGTTAACGTTCCTATTATTAACGTTCTTATTATTGACGTTCTTATATAATATTGATGTTCCTATTATTAACTTTATTATTGGTGACGTTCCTGTTACACTGGTCAGCAACAAAATTTTCGTTGTCAAAGATATTTTGAAGGTATTTAAGGTATTACTGGTGTTGCTGAATTCGAAAATGTCAGTAGGTGTTTCAGATTGGCTCTAGTTTGTGAGATATTGCACACCTACCCTCAATTAACAGGGACCTTAACCATAACGCGTGTATATGTATACACAAATAACCCGCACATAGAAGAGAGGAGCTTACGACGACGTTTCGGTCCGACTTGGACCATTTACAAAGTCACACTAACCAGAAGTGGAGCAGGACGGCTATAAATAGGCAGGAAGAGGTAGTGGTGGTAGTAGTAGTAGTAGTAGTAGTAGTAGTAGTAGTAGTAGTAGTAGTGGTAGTAGTAGTAGTAGTAGTGGTAGTAGTAGTAGTAGTAGTAGTAGTAGTAGTAGTAGTAGTAGTAGTAGTGGTAGTGGGGAACTAAGGAGGAGGAGCCAGTCAAATATAAAGAAAGGGGAGCACTGCAAGGGAGCTAGGTGCCCACAGAGGGAGAGCAAGTACACAGAGGTGGGGGAAAGGGAAGTGATGAAATACATAAGGAAGGAACAGAAACACGCGACAGAAGAAAGACAAAAAAAGGAAAGAGGAAAGGGGAAGAGGGAGAAGAAGAAAAAATGAGGAATCAGGTTAAGTCACGGGTGTTCTGAAGTTTGGAGCATTTTACAATGTAGTGGGAGAGGAAGGCATCTACATTGACGAAGCCAGGACTAAGATTCATACAAGGAAAGTTGTGTATTAGAGAGAATTCAACAAGACGGCGACTGTTAAAGTTGGAAGTAGGGAAGACAGTTTTAGCAGAAGACCAGTCTATAGGATGGCTATGATCTCTGAAGTGACAGAAAAGAGCATTGTTAGTGTCGGCAAGCCTAACACTATTTTTGTGCTCCTTAAGTCTGTCAGAAAGAGATCGGCCAGTTTCTCCAAAGAACTGAAGAGGACAGGAGGAGCAAGAAATAGAGTAGACGCCAGGAACATCTGTAGAAGGAGGAGAGGTATGAACGAGATTAGTGCGAAGAGTGTTAGTCTGGCGGAAAGTAAGCTTGATGTCTAAGAGACAGAGAGAATTGTTGAGATTAGAAAGACCGGAAATGTAGGGAAGGCAGAGGACAGAAGAGTTCCCAGGAGTAGAGAGTTTGGGAGAGAAGAAATTACGTTTAGCTCGTGAGAGGGCAGAGTCTATGAAATGGGAAGGGTAGCCAAGACGGGAAAACGAATTATGAGGAGTGGAAATTTCTACTGGAAGGAACTGAGGATCACAGATGCGGAGGGCACGGAGAAAGAGGGAGATAAGAACACTTTTCTTGACAGGGGAAGCATGATAGGAAAAGTAGTGAATGTACATGCCACTGTGCATAGGTTTTCTGTAAACAGAAAAGGAAAAACCTGTATCTGAGCGGTGGGCATGGACATCAAGGAAAGGAAGCAAGGAATTAGATTTCAATTCAGCTTTAAACTTAATGGAAGGGGCAAGATTATTAAGAGCTTCAAGAAAAGGTTAGAAGAGATTGGAGTCATGAGGCCACAGAGCAAAGATGTCATCCACATAGCGGAGCGTTGTGAAGGTTGCACATCGATGGTAGGAGGAAGAACAGTCTCGAAGTATTCCACGTAAAGATTAGCAAGGACAGGAGAGAGAGGAGAGCCCATAGCTACACCGAAGGTTTGAGAATAATATTTCCCTTGGAAGGAAAAGGAATTAGAGTCCACACAGAGGCGGATAAGATGTCTTCCTCTCCCACTACATTGTAAAATGCTCCAAACTTCAGAACACCCGTGACTTAACCTGATTCCTCATTTTTTCTTCTTCTCCCTCAGGCCCGGTGGCCTGGTGGCTAAAGCTCCCGCTTCACACACGGAGGGCCCGGGTTCGATTCCCGGCGGGTGGAAACATTCCGACACGTTTCCTTACACCTGTTGTCCTGTTCACCTAGCAGCAAATAGGTACCTGGGTGTTAGTCGACTGGTGTGGGTCGCATCCTGGGGGACAAGATTAAGGACCCCAATGGAAATAAGTTAGACAGTCCTCGATGACGCACTGACTTTCTTGGGTTATCCTGGGTGGCTAACCCTCCGGGGTTAAAAATCCGAACGAAATCTTATCTTATCTTATCTTATCTTCCCCTTTCCTCTTTCCTTTTTTTGTCTTTCTTCTGTCGCGTGTTTCTGTTCCTTCCTTATTTATTTCATCACTTCCCCTTCCCCCCACCTCTGTGCACTTGCTCTCCCTCTGTGGGCACCTAGCTCCCTTGCAGTGCTCCCCTTTCTTTATATTTGACTGGTTCCTCCTCCTTAGTTCCCTACTACTACCACTACTACTACTACTACTACTACTACCACTACTACTACTACTACTACTACTACTACTACCACTACTACTACTACTACTACTACTACTACCACTACTACTACTACTACTACTACTACTACTACTACTACTACTACTACTACCACTACTACTACTACTACTACTACTACTACCACCACTACCTCTTCCTGCCTATATATAGCCGTCCTGCTCCACTTCTGGTTAGTGTGACTTTGTAAATGGTCCAAGTCGGACCGAAACGTCGTCGTAAGCTCCTCTCTTCTATGTGCGGGTTATTTGTGTATCATTCCAGTCACGGTATTGTGCCTTTTTTGTTATTTATATGTATATGTAGTGACAATTTGTATATACAGGTAATTTTAATAAAGATTAGAATTTTATTTTTAAATTATGTATTTCAGGAAAGGAGTTGTATCAACAACGACCACATGACAATATTGTAATCTTTATTTTGTTATTTATTCCAGATAAACATGAGTTATTCACGAGGAACCTGCTTAACAATGCCAATGCATTGTGCTACATTTGTGGTAAATACTCTTTACAAAAGCAAAGAAAAAACATCACGGTTTTTGTAAAACAAGCTTATCTTGCTTATTTTAGAGTGGCGTTTGGAGAACAAGTCAAGTCTTGGGCTCCACATATGGCTTGTAAAACCTGTGTAGAATGGTTACGACAGTGGAAAAATAGGGAAAGGAAAAGTTTAAACTTCATTGTGCCTATGGTATGGAGAGAGCAGAAGAACCACCACGACGATTGCTATTTCTGTGTGGTGAATGTGAAAGGTTTCCATCGATAAAAAGAAGTCATATTGGAATATCCTGATCTGGGGTCAGCAAGGAGACCTGTGCACACATCGAAGGCTTTCCCATACCAGTGTTTCCAACACTGCCTGACCTTCCGTTGTCACATGTTGATGAAACTCAGGGTTTAGGATGTAACACATGTGATAGCAGTGGAAGAGAAGATGAAGTAAGCATTTCAACACCTCAGCAGTTCTTCCAAGAAGAACTCAGTGATCTGATACATAACCTCAGTCTGTCAAAGCTAGCCTCTGAATTTTTAGCATCCAGACTAAAAGAAAAGAAATGTCTACAACAAGAGGTTAAAACAACAGCATATCGGACAAGAGAGGTTGAACTCATTCCTTGCTTCAGCGAAGATGAAGAACTTATATACTGCAATAACGCAATAACATCCCTGGACTTCTTCTTCGACTGGAACTTGAATATCGGCCATGAGATTGATGGCTTTTTATAGACAGCTCCATTAGAAGTTTGAAATGTCTTATTGCTCACTTATATGCAGTAATTAGTGGTATACAAATTATCTGTTACTATATGGAACTACGTGCCAGATTTGATATGATTTTTGCATGATCTAAAAATAAATTTCTATGAGATTTGTAAATTAGCCCCACCTGATCAGTACATTTTTCACATCTTTAATACTTTTCAATGTGATACCAAATTTATCACAAACTAGAACCAATCAAGCAAAACAGATGACATATTCGGAATCGCATCACAAACGTATCCTAAAATCGGTGTAATATCATTGACCAGAAAATGAGTGCTGACCAGTGATTGATGTTCCTATAACTGACGTTTCTATTAATGACGTTCCTATTTCTGACGTTCCTATTAATGACATTCCTATTACTGACGTTCATATTAATGACGCTCCTATTACTGACGTTCCTATTACTGGTTTTGTTATTTAATCTTGCATTCTATCAACATCTCTCTCTCTCTCTCTCTCTCTCTCTCTCTCTCTCTCTCTCTCTAGGAACTGTTTATCTCACTGGCGAAAAAATTCATTTGCATTCATGAAAGATTAAATCAAATTGCATCGTTTAGACGCAGCTTAGATGACTGTTTACATTCAGATTGATTAAAATTGTTTTCCTGCTCTGGAGATAAACCCAGCTACTACTACTACCACTACTACTACTACTACTAATTATATCACTACTATTTCTGTTACTCTTAGTACTACTAAAAATTATAATAATATTTATTGCTCCTACTACTATTACTGCCACTGCTGCTACTACTGCTACTACTACTACTTCTACTGCTGTTATAACTACCACTACCACGCCTATACCTTTCAGTCCCTTGTGCAGACTCCATCCAAACTTTCCCGTTCCTGAAGACTGTTTCCTCATTACCGAAATAATTATAAATTTATTCAGTTCCCTCCTTCTCCTCCTCCCCCTGACTAAGTCGATACCGTCTCCCTGCTGCAGAAGGTGTGCAGCTTCCCGTGAGCCGCCGCCAGGTGGTGCACAACAACGGGTCTCTTGTGATAGACAACGTACAGAGAGTGACGGATGCCGGCACGTACTCCTGCACCGCCTCCGCTAGGCATGGGGACAAGAGTACTCAGTCTGTCCAAGTCAAGGTGCTCGGTACGTGGAGCTCTGCAGGTGTTGAGATGATGATGGAGATGTTGGGGATGTGTGTATGTGTGTGAGAGAGAGATACAGTATATGACCGGATTGTAATTGCAGGAGCGGAGATATACTCGTGGTGCCCCATTTTTAGCGTTTAGTTTGACATATAATTTCATAAAATCTCAAGTGTATGCAGTACACACACACACACACACACATACACACACACACACACACACATACACACACACACACACACACACACACACACACACACACACACACACACACACACACACACACACACACACACACACACACACACACACACACACACACACACACACAAACACACACACACACATACACTCACACACACACAATGTTTTGGATCTGACTCATTGTCCCTGTATACATGGTTACCTTTCTCACTGCTTTACCAAATGCTCTTAAGTTGAGAACTCTCGGGATATACCTTGACCTTTGCCTCGCCTCCTCTCCTTACACGCTTCGTCTTTTCTGAGTTTTTTTTTTTCCCAGCAGGTTTTTTTGTTTTTCTAAGTCAGTGGGCCAGTAGGTCTCCTTCTGTGCTCCTCTGTTCTCTTGGATTGGCTCCCGGACATTTGGCAGAACGGACATTTCACCGACGGACATTTGTCCGAACGGACATTTCACTGAAGGACATTTGACCGAACGGACATTTCACCATTTCACCGAAAGGACGAAATGGCATTCATCACCTAACCTAACCTGATTTTCCGTTCGGTGAAACGTCTGTTCGGCCAATTGTCCGTCGGTCATCTGTCCGGCAGCGCTTAGGCTACCACCACCATTTCTACGATTACTACTACTGCTGCTACTATTACTAATACTACTGCTGCCACTACTACTACTACTACTACTACTACTACTACTACTACTATTACTACTACTACTACTGCTACTACTGCTGCTGCTGCTGCTGCTGCTGCTGCTGCTGCTACTACTACTACTACTACTACTACTACTACTACTACTTTCTATACTACTACAATTTCTTCACTTGTACTGCACTTTCTGCCATTGTTTCTCTTTTTTTCCATCACTTCTGCTACCTTCTATTGTCTACCTCTACCAGTGCAGCTCTATTACTTCTACCACCACTACAACTACTTCTGCGTCTACCATCACTACAACTACTTCTACTTCTACCACCACTACAACTATTGTGGATGTGGTTCGTACTTCTATTTACGTGTGGCCAGCAGAAACAACCTGGTTGATCAGGCCCTGATCCACCTCAAGGCCTGGTCTCGGACCTGGCCACGGAGGCTTTGACCCCCGAGACCCCCTCCAGGTGTACCATCACTACTACCACTGTTTCCACTATCGTTAGTACGCCTTTCGTCTCTCCGCTCTCTCTCGGATATTTTCTGACCTTCGTTTCCTTGTCAGTGATCCAGGTTGGACCCAAACGTCGTCATCCTAAGTGCGGGTTATTTTGTATATTTTTATTGTATCTTCCCGGAAAAAAATTGTTTTTCTTAATTTCCAATTTTCTTTCCATCCCATCCTTGTCAGTGCTATGGATTTTTTTATTAATTTCATGATATAACTGATGATTCACCATGCAGTTATTTTGTATATTAACGCCGGTGTGGTTAGTGCTTCTACAGAAGAATCAAATTTGTAATGACGTTTATTGTAAGAGATTGTCGTAAACTTTCTTCTCACTCAACATGCGTGAAGACTACTGCAAAGTGCAGTATACTGTTACTTTTCAAGTGATCTTCCGGTGACAGTCTGTCGTCTGAAAATATTTCCAGACCACATTCTCACTCCACCATTTTCCATATTATATCATTGTTTACCATTATATAAATGTTCATCACAAGTTGATGAACCTCAATTTTTAACTAAAATATACACATATGCTATTCGAAAAAAATTATGATTGTGCTGTCCATGAAATACAATTCTTGCAACAGTTTCTATTAAAAGTGTGAAAAAACAAGATTTCAGCACATTTTTCTTAGTTTTTTAATGTTTCAAGTATTTTAAAAAATCATATGAAATATTGAATAATAATATATATTTTTGTGCATAATGTAGCACTGAGGCAGCTTTTTAAAAGAACTTATTTGTAAAAAGAGTAGACTGGTAAGACAGCGGAAGACCTCGGTCTGGTGGCCAAGAAGTCCAGTGGCGGGTCATCATATGACTAAAACCCGCGTCAGGAAACACTTGTCATGTTTTCTGATAACTCGTACCTAACCTACCTGAGGTATCTTTATTATTAAAAACGTTTTCAGCATTAAAGATATCCAAACGTTGCGTCTATATCTTAGCTATCATAGTTTTATTTTTTATGTTATCTGTGTACACCTCCCGTCGCCATTACCTTTCACTTTGCATATAATTCTACCAGATTTTAGTCGCTATGCTTGTGTAAGGTTTATCACGGGGATTTATGTCTTTTAACGTCTTAAATATATATATATATATATATATATATATATATATATATATATATATATATATATATATATATATATATATATATATATATATATATATATGTATATAATATATATATATATATATATATATATATATATATATATATATATATATATATATATATATATATATATATATATATATATATATATAATATATATATATATATTCCTTCTCGAAAATAATAACATAAGCTTAAAACGTTATCAGGAAAAGTACTGATTCTTGTTATGCCTCACTGGTGACCTTTTTCCATGGGGGAAATTTTGTTGTTGTCATCAGAAGTTCTTCAAAGAAGAGGTTTTGTCTTCTTTGTATTTGTACTTTAATTAGTAGTTGCGATATCAGTCTTTCATGAAGAATTTCTCGAAACCATTTTTGATATCTAAGACAATCTGTCCCTACCTGGAGTCTACCTGGAGGGTGTTTAGGGGGTCAACGCCCCCGGGGCCCAGTCGTTGACCAGGCATTCCGGTGGATTTGAGCCTGATCAATCAGGCTGTTACTACTGGCCATGCATAGCCCGTTTAAGCCTGTACAATTTCTTTGAAGGAGTGATTTGATGATGGAGTGAATGAAGATGAAAGTTTTTCTTTCTCGGGCCACCCTGCCTTGGTGGGAGACTGCCGATGAGTTAATAAATATAAAAATAATTTCTTTGACTATAATAATAATTTAATATAGTTCATATACATGGTCATGCTGAGCAAAAAAATTATTGCACATCATATAACGCTATTTCCCCTGTGAATTATTCAGTGGTGGAGACTCGATCTACCATCCACTAGTCGCGTCTGCGGTTTCTGATCAGTCAGGTTGTTGATGATTATAAGCCAAACTGCTTGACAGGTTTTACAGCATTTTCTCTAAACATTTGCTCCCTTTATTTTCAAGAGTATTCACTGTGAGTGAGACAGACCTAAATGCAATGGGTTATCCTCTCTTTTAACTATAAACAATGTGTTCACGGTGGAGAGCCAACTGTGACTTGTACGACTCACTTGTCATGCCTACAAAACATTACCCGTTCCGTGAGTTGTTTATACTGTACTACAGTCACAGTATCAGTTAGTGTATCTGACCGATGATTACCATACGGAGGATCAAGCCTCCGCCAAACATTACGTTTACCATTATTTCAAAAATAAATCCTTTATTAATATTTGCGGTATCAGTATGTAGAGTCACATAACTTCTTTTTTCTTAATTTGTCTGATCGTTTACTTTCCTGAATACCCCAAAAATTAGATAGATTCAGTAGTTTATTTCTTAAGCTCCTTCCTCCAGAACCCAGAGTGGTACATTGTCTGGTCCTAGTAGTTTATTTCTCAGGTTATTTCCTTGGTCTACGTCTCAGTTAGTTGTTAGAAGTTCAAGTCCACTTTCTTCATTTTTTCTTCTTTGGCATAAACACTCACAGATTTCTCACTGTGAATGGCTATCCTGATTATCAAACAAACTCGGGTTGGAGCTCTCTAAACTGGTCAGCTTTCTCTTTCCTTAACATTGCATTCCAGCTGGAATTTTTAAACTACAAATCGATTCCAGATTTTTTTTTTTGCATTACTCTGCAATTATTTGCTTTTAATCTGTATGAAAATCACTAATGTATTTTATTATCACATGATATGTAAATTTATGAGCAGTTTACCTCTCCAGAAATTATTTTTGAAATATGAATTTCTTTCATTTCTGTGAATTCATCTTGGTTGTGTTGTTCGTGTGATGATTTTGTGTTTTCGTTGATGTGTGTGTGTTGTGGGTAGTGTGTGTGTGATGTTGTGGTTGTGTGTGGGTGTGTGTTGTGTGTGATGTGGTGTGGTGTGGGTGTGTGTGAGTGTGTGTGTGTGGTGTGTTGTGTGTGTGTGTGTGTGGTGTGTGTGTGTGTGTGTGTGTGTGTGTGTGTGTGTGTGTGTGTGTGTGTGTGTGTGTGTGTGTGTGTGTGTGGTGTGTGTGTGTGTGTGTGTGTGTGTGGTGTGTGTGTGTGTGGTGTGTGTGTGTGTGTGTGTGTGTGTGTGTGTGTGTGTGTGTGTGTGTGTGTGTGTGTGTGTGTGTGTGTGTGTGTTGTGTGTGGTGTGGTGTTGTGTGTGTGTGTGTGGGTGTGTGTGTGTGGTGTGTGTGTGTGTTGTGTGTGTGTGTGTGTGTGGTGTGTGTGTGTGTTGTGTGTTGTGTGGTGTGTGATGTGTGTGTGTGGTGTGTGTTGTTGTGTGGTGTGGTGTGTGTGGTGTGTGTGTGGTGTGTGTGTGTGTGTGTGTGTGTGTGTGTGTGTGTGTGTGTGTGTGTGTGTGTGGTGTGTGGTGTGTGTGTGTGTGTGTGTGTGTGTGTGTGTGTGTGTGTGTGGTGTGTGTGTGTGTGTGTGTGTGTGTGGTGTGTGTGTGTGTGTGTGTGTGTGTGTGTGTGTGTGTGTGTGGTGTGTGTGTTGAGTGTGTGTGGTGTGTGTGGTGTTGTGTGTGTGTGTGTGAGTGAGTGTGAGAGTACATAGCCATGATTGTCCGAGTCTTCGTACCCTGCTGAACCAAAGGCGTGCCTTAGTGCCGCCTCGCATTCTTCCCTTCAACCAAGACCACCACCTGTCCGAGGGCAACCGGTTGACGCTGACGTGTGTGGTGACGGAGGGTGACCTGCCCCTCACCATCACCTGGTACAAGGACGGGCAGAAACTGGAGGGTCGGGAGCACGCCACACAGCACGCCTGGGGAGACTTCAACAGTCACCTGGGCATAGCGCACGTGTTGCCACACCACGCCGGGAACTACACCTGTCGTGCCTCCAACCGCGCCGCCTCCGACCAGCAAACAGCAGCTCTCTACGTCAACGGTAACAGCCCTCTATCCATCCCTCTGTTTATCCCCTCTTCACTAACCCTGCCTTTCGTTCCAGTGCCGCCCAGGATAGGACCGTTCACCTTCAGAGAGAATTCAGCAGCTGGTATCCGCGTCTCCGTGAGCTGCAGCCTCGAACAGGGCGACTTACCGGTGACTATCCGTTGGCTGAAAGACGGCGAAGTGTTGACAGCTGACCCCCAGGGAGCTGTCAGCCCTCACTGGCCAGGTCTACAGGCTCGACTGGACGTCGACGTGCGTTTCCTGGACGCATACTCCAGCCTGCTGGTAATACCTAAGCTGAATGCCGCCCATGCAGGCAACTACACATGTCAGGCAACCAATGCCGCCCGCACCGTCTCCTACACTGCCCCCCTCACCGTCAGCGGTAACGTAGCCACGCCCACCGGCAGTGTCTGTAACGTAACACGCCCGCAACCGTCACGCCCACACCCGCACCGTCCCACTCCCATTAATGCTGCTGGCGCCCAGTGCATGGTGCGGTAGGGGGTAATGGCACCACCACCGCCACTGCACCTCATGTAGTAGCTGCTGCTTGTCCACGCACAGGCCGCCACCACTGCTGCACAGCACCGCCACTATTACTACCACAGCACCACAACCACTAATACCACTACTACTGCATAGCACCATAACCACTAATACCACCACCACTGAACAGCACCACAACCACTAATACCACCACCACTGCACAGCACCATAACCACTAATACCACTACCACTGCACAGCACCATAAGCAATAATACCACCACCACTGCACAGCACCACAACCACTAATACCACCAACACTGCATAGCACCACTACCACTGCACATCACCATAAGCACTAATACCACCACCACTGCACAGCACCACAACCACTAATACCACCACCACTGCACAGCACCACAACCACTAATACCACCAACACTGCATAGCACCACAACCACTAATACCACTACCACTGCACATCACCATAAGCACTAATACCACTACCACTGCACATCACCATAAGCACTAATACCACCAACACTGCATAGCACCATAAGCACTAATACCACCACCACTGCACAGCACCACAACCACTAATACCACCAACACTGCACAGCACCATAACCACTAATACCACTACCACTGCACAGCACCATAAGCACTAATACCACCACCACTGCACAGCACCACAACCACTAATACCACTACCACTGCACATCACCATAAGCACTAATACCACCACCACTGCACAGCACCACAACCACTAATACCACCACCACTGCACAGCACCACAACCACTAATACCACCAACACTGCATAGCACCACAACCACTAATACCACTACCACTGCACATCACCATAAGCACTAATACCACCACCACTGCACATCACCATAAGCACTAATACCACCACCACTGCACATCACCATAAGCACTAATACCACCACCACTGCACATCACCATAAGCACTAATACCACCACCACTGCACATCACCATAAGCACTAATACCACCACCACTGCACATCACCATAAGCACTAATACCACCACCACTGCACAGCATCATAAGCACTAATACCACCACCACTGCATAGCACCACTACCACTAATACCACCACCACTGCACAGCACCACAACCACTAATACCACCACCACTGCACAGCACCACAACCACTAATACCACCACCACTGCACAGCACCACAACCACTAATACCACCACCACTGCACAGCACCACAACCACTAATACCACCACCACTGCACAGCACCACAACCACTAATACCACTACCACTGCACAGCACCACAACCACTAATACCACCAACACTGCACAGCACCACAACCACTAATACCACTACCACTGCACAGCACCACAACCACTAATACCACCACCACTGCACAGTACCACAACCACTAATACCACCACCACTGCACAGCACCATAAGCACTAATACCACCACCACTGCACAGCACCACAACCACTAATACCACCACCACTGCACAGTACCACAACCACTAATACCACCACCACTGCACAGCACCATAAGCACTAATACCACCACAACTGCACAGCACCACAACCACTAATACCACCACCACTGCACAGTACCACAACCACTAATACCACCACCACTGCACAGCACCACAACCACTAATACCACCACCACTGCACAGCACCACAACCACTAATACCACCAACACTGCACAGCACCACAACCACTAATACCACCAACACTGCACAGCACCACAACCACTAATACCACCACCACTGCACATCACCATAAGCACTAATACCACCACCACTGCACATCACCATAAGCATTAATACCACCACCACTGCACATCACCATAAGCACTAATACCACCACCACTGCACAGCACCACAACCACTAATACCACCACCACTGCACAGCACCACAACCACTAATACCACCACCACTGCACAGCACCACAACCACTAATACCACCACCACTGCACAGCACCACAACCACTAATACCACTACCACTGCACAGCACCACAACCACTAATACCACTACACTGCACAGCACCACAACCACTAATACCACTACCACTGCACAGCACCACAACCACTAATACCACCACCACTGCAAAGCACCACAACCACTAATACCACTACCACTGCACAGCATCATAAGCACTAATACCACCAACACTGCATAGCACCACAACCACTAATACCACCACCACTGCACAGTACCATAAGCACTAATACCACCAACACTGCATAGCACCACAACCACTAATACCACTACCACTGCACAGTACCACAACCACTAGTACCACCACCACTGCACAGCACCACAGCCACTAGTACCACCACCACTGCACAGCACCACAATCACTAGTACCACCACCACTGCACAGTACCACAACCACTAATACCACCAACACTGCATAGCACCACAACCACTAATACCACTACCACTGCACAGTACCACAACCACTAGTACCACCACCACTGCACAGCACCACAGCCACTAGTACCACCACCACTGCACAGCACCACAATCACTAGTACCACCACCACTGCACAGGACCACAACCACTAGTACCACCACCACTGCACAGCACCACAATCACTAGTACCACCACCACTGCACAGTACCACAACCACTAATACCACCAACACTGCATAGCACCACAACCGCTAATACCACCACCACTGCACATCACTGCAACCACTAGTACCACCACCACTGCACAGCACCACAGCCATTAGTACCACCACCACTGCACAGCACCACAGCCACTAGTACCACCACCACTGCACAGCACCACAGCCACTAGTACCACCACCACTGCACAGTACCACAGCCACTAGTACCACCACCACTGCACAGTACCACAGCCACTAGTACCACCACCACTGCACAGCACCACAACCACTAGTACCACCACCACTGCACAGCACCACAGCCACTAGTACCACCACCACTGCACAGCACCACAACCACTAGTACCACCACCACTGCACAGCACCACAACCACTAATACCACTACCACTGCACAGCACCACAACCACTAATACCACCAACACTGCACAGCACCACAACCACTAATACCACTACCACTGCACAGCACCACAACCACTAATACCACCACCACTGCACAGTACCACAACCACTAATACCACCACCACTGCACAGCACCATAAGCACTAATACCACCACCACTGCACAGCACCACAACCACTAATACCACCACCACTGCACAGTACCACAACCACTAATACCACCACCACTGCACAGCACCATAAGCACTAATACCACCACCACTGCACAGCACCACAACCACTAATACCACTACCACTGCACAGCACCACAACCACTAATACCACTACCACTGCACAGCACCACAACCACTAATACCACTACCACTGCACAGCACCACAACCACTAATACCACTACCACTGCACAGCACCACAACCACTAATACCACCACCACTGCACAGCACCACAACCACTAATACCACCAACACTGCACAGCACCACAACCACTAATACCACCAACACTGCACAGCACCACAACCACTAATACCACCAACACTGCACAGCACCACAACCACTAATACCACTACCACTGCACAGCACCACAACCACTAATACCACCACCACTGCACAGCACCACAACCACTAATACCACTACCACTGCACAGCACCACAACCACTAATACCACCACCACTGCACAGCACCACAACCACTAATACCACTACCACTGCACAGCATCATAAGCACTAATACCACCAACACTGCATAGCACCACAACCACTAATACCACCACCACTGCACAGTACCATAAGCACTAATACCACCAACACTGCATAGCACCACAACCACTAATACCACTACCACTGCACAGTACCACAACCACTAGTACCACCACCACTGCACAGCACCACAGCCACTAGTACCACCACCACTGCACAGCACCACAATCACTAGTACCACCACCACTGCACAGGACCACAACCACTAGTACCACCACCACTGCACAGCACCACAATCACTAGTACCACCACCACTGCACAGTACCACAACCACTAATACCACCAACACTGCATAGCACCACAACCGCTAATACCACCACCACTGCACATCACTGCAACCACTAGTACCACCACCACTGCACAGTACCACAGCCACTAGTACCACCACCACTGCACAGCACCACAGCCACTAGTACCACCACCACTGCACAGCACCACAGCCACTAGTACCACCACCACTGCACAGCACCACAGCCACTAGTACCACCACCACTGCACAGCACCACAGCCACTAGTACCACCACCACTGCACAGTACCACAGCCACTAGTACCACCACCACTGCACAGTACCACAGCCACTAGTACCACCACCACTGCACAGTACCACAGCCACTAGTACCACCACCACTGCACAGCACCACAACCACTAGTACCACCACCACTGCACAGCACCACAGCCACTAGTACCACCACCACTGCACAGCACCACAACCACTAGTACCACCACCACTGCACAGTACCACAGCCACTAGTACCACCACCACTGCACAGCACCACAACCACTAGTACCACCGCCACTGCACAGCACCACAACCACTAGTACCACCACCACTGCACAGCACCACAGCCACTAGTACCACCACCACTGCACAGCACCACAACCACTAGTACCACCACCACTGCACAGCACCACAGCCACTAGTACCACCACCACTGCACAGCACCACAACCACTAGTACCACCACCACTGCACAGCACCACAACCACTAGTACCACCACCACTGCACCGCACCACAGCCACTAGTACCACCACCACTGCACAGCACCACAACCACTAGTACCACCACCACTGCACAGCACCACAACCACTAGTACCACCACCACTGC